TGAGACCCCCCAAAATTTCACAAATCACGTTTTCAGGGGAGCCCATGTCTTATTAAGGAGAGCCGACCTCCCCCTAGCTCCCCCGTAGTTCGCACCCTGCTTTTCCCCCCTCCCCATATGTCATAATTCTTTAAAGGTCCCATGGCATGAACATTTCACTTTATGAGGTTTTTTAACATTAATATGAGTTCCCCTAGCCTGCCTATGGTCCCCCAGTGGCTAGAAATGGCGATAGGTGTAAACTGAGCCCTGGGTATCCTGCTTTGCCTTTGAGAAAATGAAAGCTCAGATGGCCCAATCTGGAATCTTCCCTTTATGTCGTCATACGGGGAAAGGTTACCTCCCCTTTCTCTGCTTTGCCCGCCCAGAGAATTTGGCCCGCCCATGAGAAAATGAGCTACTACAGTGCCAGGCGAGTGCAATATTTTTTTTTTCCTCGAGAGACATCATGGCTTGCAAACGAGCGAAGCATGGCAGTTGCCCCGCCTCTCTCCTCCTCATTAGCATTTAAAGCTACAGACACAGAAATGGCACGTCCTAAGGAAAGCTCATTGTGGGACTGGCTCGTAGTGGCTGAAATTCTGCACCAAGGCTGAATTTCGGGAAAGAGACTTCAGATACAGTACTAGGGACCACTTAGGCCTATATAAAAGCATCCAAAAAGCAGCATGTCATGGGACCTTTAAGCACAATGGTTGTAATGCACTGACTTACCAAGTATTTCACCAACACCAATCAAAATTCCAGAGAGGCCGATAAGACCCTTGGCGTCATGTCCAAATTGAGTCATGGCCCCTAAACATGTCCCATACACCCCACTGTAAAAGGTGAGCTCGAGACCTGGACAGACAGGCAACCACATTGTCTCAACATTACAGTTCAGATCGATTAAAATTTTCATGTTCATAATATGTTCATGTCACTATAATGCTATATACAGTATATCACAATATAGTTTTTTGATCCATGTAGTAATGTTTACATTTGGATAATCCAGTGAATTACATGCTTTGCAAAAAGATACTTTTTTTTATTTATGTGGTACTTGATGGACACAAACCAAAAGAAAAGACACTTAACAATTCTTGTAAAAAAAAATAACTTAAAAAAACAAGACTCAAAACAGTAAAACTTGTATTACATATTATATAGCATATTATTATTATTATTACTATTAATAATACATTATTAGTATCTAAAAGAACAGATCTCCCCCAGGCTTCTGTTTTGGGCCCTCTTCTTATCATAATCTACTACCACACAAATTCTATACTATATTATTAAATATGAAACAGTGCTGCTTAATATTTTTGTGTAAACCGTGATGCTTTTTTTTTTCAGGATTAATGAATAGAAAGTAAAAAGAACAGCATAATAAATAGGCCTAAAATAAATATACACAGTACACACACATAAACAAAAACTTTTATTTTGGATGTGATTAATCACGATTAATCATTTGACAGCACTAATTATTATTATTCTTATTACTGTTATTATTATTATTATAAATACATTATTAGCATCTAAAAGAACAAATCTTAAGAGGTCTACTAAAGGTGTCCCCCAAGGTTCTTTGTTACAATAAAAAAAAATCAATTTTTACACACATTATGACTGTCCTACAGTTGTGGGCGATTTCCACCAAATTGGCCAGACCATAGTTTATTATATAAAATATACTCACTTGTTATGTGACTCTTGCCACGCCAGGCAAAATATATGTAGAGATTACCAAAGAATAAGCTGTGAATAAAAGAGAATCAATGAATCATTGTTCCTCTTGTTCCGTCTACACATACTTGCCATACAATGGCAACAAGCAAGATGTACCTAAACTGCATCAAAGCCCAAAATATTCCACTGTTTCTTCCAATGGTGGAATCTTTGGAGTTGATGGTGAGCAGATTCCCTTGGGCCGTCCAGAGCACTGCGAGACACAAAGTTAGTTTTAGAGAATGTGTGGCTACATAATATGCTTTCACAACTTAACAGATAATGATATCCCACCTGCAGCTGCGATTCCGAGCAACACAGATAAAGTGTAGAATGACGAGGTGTACGGATGAATGAAAACAGCAATATAACCACTAAAAGAGAGCACAGATTGAGTCTTTTTAATAAAAACTTAATCATAAATAACTAAGAAAATTGCTCATTTATTACTACATTTATACTACTACTACTAAATGAAGTCCTTTAGGCACTTACCTGTAAACAAGTCCACTAAAAAACAAAGACAACTGAGGTCCAATGACAGCTATCACCGAGGGCGCTATAAGGTTAGACGCAGAGAATACGGCATAGATAATCGCCATGCTAGAAGCAAAGCATGAGAAGCATGTGTTAAGGGTGGTATTTTAATTATTAATGATCACCAAAGTAAATACAACATAACTGTTTCATGGTGTTTTATAGAAAAGCCAAAGTGAAAAATCATTCTACAGATTATTACTTTTTATTTACAGAAGGGGAAACAAGGGGCAATTGTAAGCATTTTTCTCATAACTCATAAACAAAGACAAATCTACCAGTCGTATATTGGTATAAAATAAACATGTGACAACAGTAATAATATGGCTCAAATATTTACATTGAGAAACACTAGATCAAAGAGTTGAATTTAATCCAAGAAGAGAGAAAGTTACAATCTGCTCACTTACATTGGTTAGAGGCAACTGAAACACTTACATTAAATAATAATAATAATAATATTAACCCAATACATCTCACATATGTACACACCTCAAAAGAATCTAATATATCTAATCTAATCTAATATATAGCTATTCATAATAACAAAAATGATGAATCGCTTATTTAAAGATTAATACTGTTCATTAAACAATTTAAATATTAAAAATTATATCATAACCAGAGTTACAACTGCCCTAACATCATAGTCATGATAATATCCTGATAAAGCCACCAGATAAATTTGATTAATTTTTAACCACATACACACACATTTTAGTTTTTTTTCCCCCAATATTTCACTTCCATCACAAAATAAATAAATAAAAATGGCAAAATTATAAAATTTCTCATGGAAGGAAAACTCTATAGAGTCCGTGCTGAATAAGTGACACAGTCACATGACAACCGCTTACATTTCTGTTTCAAAGTTCTGTGTTTTTTTTGTTTTTGAGAACAGACAGTGCTTCTTTGTTACATAACCATGGTCAATGTGATTCCTGAGGTCAAAGAGACCTTCAGACCTTATTCATTAGATCAGTGAATCTCAACCTTTTGGCGTACCGGACCCCAGTCCAATTCAGAACCATCCTCAAGGACCCCCAGAACAAAATGGACTCGTATCATTTGTGTCTTTGTGAGGACCAAATGCAGTCAAGTATAATTCAAGTTAGCTGACTTGTCCAGTATTTGGCCATATCATCAGCTATATTGGATTTTTCTTTCATGGGAACATGTCATGTCAAAATATACAAAATGTATACAAAAATTCATACTTTATACGGACCCCCTGGCCTTATGTCAAGGACCACTAGGGGTCCACGGACCCCTGGTTGAGAAGCACTGCATTAGATTACAGCACAACATCAGATGACCCGATTTTCATCCATCAGCCATCATAAATCTCATTCAAAAAGCGTACAGAGGCCAAAACATGTCACATGACTTGAGCAGAAATAGAGCACAGCTGTGGGATTCTGAAAGTAAAAATCCCATTCATCGCTTTTATGTGTATGTGGACAATACACTTCTATTACAATTTTCGTATCATTTTTAATAGATGCACTTTTTACTGCCATTTTTTGTGTGTCATTTGCAATGCTTATGCAATTAACTATGCATAAAAGACGTCTAGTACACAGTCTCGCAATTTTATATCCTTTTCAAATCAGCATTTCTAATGTTGTGCTTCATACGGGAGCTGACTGGCTGAAGTCTTTTTAATACCCATTGAAAAAAAGCCAATGAGAAAGTTACTTCTGGCACCTGAAGGCCACTGAAAAAAGTGGGTGGATGGCTCTATAAAGAATGTGGCTCTGAAGGAAGAAATGAAGAAAACGAATACCTTGTGTAGCCACTTCCATGAAACTCTGTACTGTTGAAACTCTTTATCACGGTTTGCTGGAAAGAGTGAAAATGTTGGTTTGAATACATTCTTATAAGCCTAGCCGAATCTGATGTGATAACATTCATCAGATCATGCATTTCTAAGTGTGAACAAGCTCAAAACCTACTTCAATATTCCCGCAGGTGCCGAAGGCAGTAAACATAACCATGAACCCCAAGCCCAGGATTATGATGTTCAGCAGGGTCTTTCCTTCTGGACTCATGTTGGCTTACAGTCTTTAGCTCGATGACAACCTGAGACTAGTGAACACACCTGGTTAAAAACAACTGGTTAAAAACCTGACCATGCTATTTTTTCTATATGTTTGCTTCCTCATGAGATCAAACAGCTCTGAAGGATGTTCATTTATACCGAAACAGTTATTGTACTGCATGTGTGATGGGAATAAATCATGTTTTTCATTAAATAATGTATTATCAATAAATGATTACTCATATCATTTAGACTTAATGCAACTGACTGCAATGATAATTGTGCTCAGTAAACTTACCGACTACTTGGGTGCGCTGATGTAAACAGCTAATTCATAATGTGAACACCTGTTTCGATATGGGGGGAAAAAACAGTTTGTAAAGCTGGTTAACGTAAAGATATATTCGTTTCCGACTTGTCGCTGTCTGTATCTGAAATCAAAAAATGTCGGTCATGTGACATCTATCAGCTGGCGGTGACGTCATAGCCAGCCTCCAGCAACTGAATTGTGGGTAGTGTAGTTTTTCCGTACGTCGGTACTGGAATTAAAATATTTATTAAAAACATATAGTTAAACTGTTAAAGTTATATATCATTCTGAATTTGTCTTGTTGGTGAAGTGTATAGTCAGTAGAGCAAGCACAAACTCTCACATCGGGAATTGTAGTCCTTATTTAGTAATCTATATATTTATAAATAAATAAAAAAAGCGGGTTCAAAAGTCACGTTTCGATGCGTGTAATTTCAAATAATGTTAACCTTACCTAACCCTATACATTTAAAAACAACTTTAAACTTACAGATTTTATTCATCAATCATTACTTCAGAAATGTTAAAAAGGGACAAATATAAACTGTATTTTCTGTAATAACTATTCATTAAACTAATCATTAAAAAGCTTTGCATTTATTTTGGCTTTGTACTTATTCAGTTATATTTTAGATGAAACGTACAATGAAAATAGGCTCTCACTTTTATGTAAAATTATACTTTTTGGGTTTACTGAATATTCTAAAGAGGATTAAAAATGATTTTATTTAATTAGTTTACTCGTATATTTTGACCAAATTTCACATGTACAAATTCAAGTTGTTGACTGTTATCTGATATTTTATGCCCCATTGTGCCATTTGCATGATCTTTATTTATTTATGTATAAATACTTGTATAATGTTCAGTATCTGCATTTGAACGAAAGTGCATGTATAATGTTTATTCAATAAAAAAGCTCAATTATAATTCTATTTTAACCCCCATTCACAAAAAAAAAAAAAAGTTTTGTGAATTTAGTGTTTTTTCATGTCATTAAATTGTTTAGAGCATAAGAAAAAAAATGGAATAATAGCAATTTTGTAAACTGATATTTTATTAATATGCTATGCTATGGCCTCTGTATAGAGGACACCAGGACAAAAAAATAAAAAGACATGAATGAACATGAATAGGCAAAAAAAAAAAATTTTTAAATCACCAATATATTTTTATGTTTCAGGATTTTAGGTTTCAGGACTTTGTATAAAGATGTTATGAAACAACTATGTTATGAAAGATATAACAGAATGATTTGATATACCATTTTGCTTTATATGCAGTACGTGTGTAAAATGGCCATAAATGGGTTTTCCACCTATACAATGTATCTCATTTGCATATTAATGTATACTTGGGGCAATAATGAAAATAGAAGTGTAATACTGGGAGTAATAATTAGCAAGATTTACATTATAACATCTATTTTTATAGGAATATTCAAATTTGTATTCATTTGTGGTGTCTCCCAAAATGCGTAATAAACATGCCTTTAGTCCTGATGTCTTCTACAGTGGACATGAATGAAATCGATGTCCTGTTTCGTAACAGAAAGTCATATTTTGATTCGAAACCCCATACCATTTTCCTGAGATGTTGATTTATGACAAACAGTTAAAAAATGAGTCAGATTTAAATGATAATTACAAAATATGTAAGACATACGACTTGGGTTTGTCGCTCTCCATTCACGTGACCAATGAACAGTCTTTTAAGTGAAAACAGTATCTGCTGTACTACACCTGAATATTTCTGTTATATTTCTATCTTAGTCTTGTGTCAGATGTCCTTGTTAGTTTTAATCAGTTATCACAAGTCTAGAAGGCTCAGCATCTCAGTATTTTCTAGTCTGAAAAGATAAATATGTGTAATTTAGTTAACTAATTTAGTCATAATTTAATTACATTTAGTCAGTGGCAGTCACAGAAAACTAGCCGTAAGATTATTAACATTTCAGTCAATAGTCTATCCAAAACTTTTTTTTTAATAAAGTTTAGCAGTATTTAAACAGGCTGTTTCATGCAACTCATGCATTTACACTGCAATTACAATCGCATAAATATTGTTATAAGATTAATGTTTTAAGTATAACATTGTTTCTATATTCAGAATGTGGAGAAAAATGAAGTATTTTTCAAAGTGAATCTAAGGGTATGTTTACACAACAATGATAGTACTAAAAAAACAGAAACGTTTTTCTTTTTGTGTTTTTGAAAAGTTCGCTTACAAACGACAGCATTGTCAAATTGATCCTGTTCACATGGATCAGAGAAAACTGCTAAAATCTAGGGCTGTCACCAACGATTATTTTGGTAATCGAGTAATCGGTCGATTATTCTGGCGATTAATTGAGTAATCGGATAATTACAATAATTTTTTTGTGCATGGTAATAAAAAGACCTAAGCAAACAGTAGCCTTTAAAATTACTTAAAATACAAATATAATAGCAATGAGGCAATAATAATTAGTTCTAATAGAGTATCAAAAACAAGTAATCATATGGTTTTATTGAAAAAAAACTGGTAAAATTAATCTAATATAAACAATATAGCTAATGTACATTACGCATTATAACAAATGCCTGCAGAGGGCGCCAACGGCCTGACGATTGTTTTTACACTTTACAGCGCTCTCTAATCCTTGTTTAATATTGACGAAATAAACAACGTTTAATTAAAATGTCCACTTAATCTTTAATATTGGGCCTAAAAACAGAAACGTTTTTCTTTTGTGTTTTTGAAAAGTTTCGCTTACCGACGACAACATTGTCAAAATGGTCCCGTTCACACGGATCCGTGAAAACAGGGTAAAACGCAGTGATATTCATGCCAGGCCAGTATTTGGCGGTCACATTTAAAAAAAAACACCACACGCCTGCGCACATACACATTCCTATAGACCGGACGTAATACGCATGTGCATGACGTCGCCATTTTCACAAACTCGCATTTTTGTAGTTTACACTGAGATGATGAGAGTATTGTTTTCAAAAGCTTGCACTTTGAAACCCGTTTTCAAAAGTTTGCCTTTTCAGGCTCCCAAAACGCCGTTATTGTGTAAATTAATGGCCAGAATGCATAAAAAAAGTTGTAATTTTTTTAGTTGAAAACAGTGTCATGTAAACGGCCCCTAAAACTGCCAGTAGGTGTAGACAAGTCACTCGCTGCATCCAAAATCGCATACTTCCCTAATATATAGTAGGTGAAAAACAGTATGTGAGACGAGTAGTATGTCGAATTCATAGTATTCGAAAAACAGTAGGCGAAAAGTACCCGGATGACCTACTTCTTCCACCCGGATTCTGAACTGCACATTCGATAGACACTTTATTATCCCATGAGGCCATGGGAGAGGATTTATGAAAGGCAGTGAAGCGATGCAGCTGACACTGGTAGGTCACGTGACGGTAACAACATGGATGAAGTGCATCCGAATTACATTCATACTATCCATATTCATACCTATATAGAACATACTTTTTTAATGGTCGTGGAGTAAATTCAAATGTAGTACCTACTCAGAAAGTATGCGATTTCGTACGCACTGACTGTCTTGAAGAGTGAGTCATTGAATCATTCATTCAACTGATTAGTTCAAAACGGCTCATTCATTAGTGGAACGAAGCAAGTTACTGCAGGTCTGTATTCAGACACTATTGCAGTGTTCCCTGATGTTTCTTCATCTCCACCAACAGTCCGAGGCGTCGTAAACGCAGCCGTTCCATAAGCAGGAGCCGCTCTTGTTCCCACAGCCGTTCCCGTTACAGCAGGTCGCGGTCACGCTCCTATTCCCGCTCTCGCTCAAAGTCACACACTCCCCGCAAGAGGAAGTCCAAGTCTCCTTCCAGGTCAAGGTCACGTTCACGTTCACGATCCAAATCCAGGTCCCGGTCAAGACAGAGTTACAATTCACTGGAATAATGTGCAGGAATGTAATTCAGACTTGCAGACGCATCGCATTGGTAACAATTTGACTTGCACAGCAGGTTTTCGTTCTGCTTTGACAATGCTGTGAATGGTGTTGAACTCAATGTGGAATAGTTGCCTCCAAGCTGCTGAATCCAGTATGGCAATGTAAAAGCAGGGCTGTGTAGTGCAGTTTGAGCTGGTAGAGGTGTATGTGATCCAGCTACCTGCTCCTTTTGGGGTTGCTTTGAAGCAGATGGGTGTTTTGGTGGTGCTGAGGTACGTGTACGAGACAATGGTCAGACAGTGTCCTGCCTTAGAAAAAGTAAAACGCAAAATTGCTGCCAGTTGCTTACTTAAAGGATTAGCTCACTCCAGAATAAAAATGTCCTGATCATTTACTCGCCACCATGTCTTCCAAGATGTTCATGTCGTTCTGTCTTCTGTCAAGTTTTTGGAGGAAAACATTCCAGGAGTTTTCTCCATATAGTGGACTTCAAAGAGGACCAACGGGTTGAAGGTCCAAATTGCAGTTTCAATGCAGCTTCAAAGGGCTCTACACAATCCCAGCCGAGAAATAAGGGTCTTAAATAACAAAACGATCGGCCATTTCTACAAATTTTTTATTTTTTTTTAAATGTATATACGTTTAACCACAAATGCTCGTCTTGCACTAGCTCAGCGTTCACGACTTCACGCGTTACGTAGTCACTTTGGAAAGGGCACACGTGATGTAAGCGGAAGTACCAAAGTGTTTACAAAGCGAACATGCAAAGAAAGTCAAATGCCCTTTACAAAAAAAGGTAAAACAGCAATGTCAGACAAGTTTTTCGCCCTACCCTACCTTTTTGAACCAGAGTACACAGACGAAGACGCCTGTGTACAAAGACGATTATTTGTGGTTAAAATGTACATAAATCAAAAACCTACATTTTTTTTTGACTGAAGAAAGAAAGACATTAACATCTTGGATGACATGGGGGTGAATAAATGAATGAAATTTTTATTCAGGAGTGAACTAATCCTTTAAAGCTGAAAATGTGAATAAACGTAATAATTGCGTTATGGCATGAGTAAATTTTATGTCATAGACATAGTATGAAATTACCCTGTGTATTTTATTTTTTTACTATGTATTTGAGATCAATACATTAAATAAATATATATAGATAGCCATTTCTATATATTTTATCATAAAAGTAAAAATTTGTAATATAAAAATATATAAATATATATTATCTATAATTATACACTTTTTGGATGCAAATCAGTTGAACATTATATGTTCTTTACTTGGTTTTAAAAAGGTCTTTAAAAAAAGTCTTATTTACCTTCAGAAAACGTGCAGAAACCCTCTTTCCCACAGTTATGGAAATAACAGATAAATTTAATTTGTGATCTCCAAAAATGGAAAAGTAATGGAAAGTAATCAGATTTTAAGGTTATGGGAATTTTTTATTATATATATATATATATATATATTACATTCATATTTCAGAAGCTACAAACTGCTCTTGTGAGTGTTGATTGATTTATGTTTTTGTCAAATAAAATTAAAAAGGAATGGAGATCTGTTGGAAGCTGTACTTTATAGTATTGCTAATACAACTTATTTCCAGCTCACTAGACATTTACATTTAAAGAACACAGGGGCGTATTGTGTTCCCTTCAATTTATTCCTTAAATGTTCTTTACTTGGTTTTAAAAAGGTCTTTAAAAAAAGTCTTATTTACCTTCAGAAAATGTGCAGAAACCCTCTTTCCCACAGTTATGGAAATAACAATAATAAAAAAATCTTACATTCATATTTCAGAAGCTACAAACTGCTCTTGTGAGTGTAATTTCTATCAAACTAGATTTTAGGCACTTCGGAGTGAAAACAATCATGGCCGCCATATTGAAGGGTCGTTCCAAACCGAAG